CTTGAAGTTGAGGATCAACCTGTGATTCTATCGCTAACGATTGTTGCCAGTGATGATGTCCAAAGCCTGTTTTAACCCTGAAGCAGCTGTTAAACTGTGAGTCAACATGATAGAATGGGCAGCGTTTCGGCCTTTGCTGATAATTCCAAGATGGGCTCGCATGCATGCACAGGAGAAACAGGCTCCTCCGCAGTTTATGTCCACTCACCCATCGGTAGGTTTGGAGAATACTTATAAAGGGATCATAACTAACTCACTAGTAGAGTTACAACCGAATGGAAACCATTCAAGGATGGTAAGACCTTCTCTCCTGCATTGACTTATTTGTTACTAATTCGACCAAATAGGCTTGACAAGGCCGAAGCAATCTACCAGGAGAATGGGTGCAGCTCTGTCGAAGGATACAGTAAGAGCTTCATTTCTTTGCTCCATATACCGAATTGCTAACATCTTCTAGTGCCTGGTTTCCGAACTGCTTATAATTCGCATATCTCGTATTTGAGATGATCAACAGAGCATCCAAGTCGATAGTACGTTGTTGGTAACTGTATAATAGCATTGGCAAATGTACCAATAAACATTCATGAAAGATAAAAGCAATTAACAAATATAAAACTAGAAGGATTAAAGATTGTATTGTCGCTGATCTATAGTGACCGCCAAGCATCTGGGCAACTGGTGGGCTCCCCCTCGTGCAAACCGAGCAAACCCACCACCGCAGCTCCAAAAATTGCCCGGCACAACAGCTCCATCCACTCCCTCACATTTAACCCATTTGATATCCAGTCGCATCTCCTTCGGACGCGACCTAATATCATGTCGCTATCAATTCCCGGTCCCTCCCAGGCGGGGCTCTTCAAGCCCGGGTACCAGAGGTGAGTTCAAAAAGTCGGGAAGCCCGAAAACCCACTGCAATAGGGACCTCCTTATCTGGCGCCCCTCCAAAAAAGAAGCAACGCAAATTGACTGATCTGTTTTTCCTGCCTTATAGCCACGATGCCGAAGATGGAGCCGTTATCCGTAACATCGAAGCCTGCCAGGCTATCTCAGGAACCGTCCAGACTTCCCTGGGCCCCTATGGCCGCAACAAGATCGTCATCAACCACCTGCAAAAGATGATTCTGACCTCCGACGCGGCTACCATTCTTCGTGAGTTGGATGTTGTCCACCCCGCTGCTAAGCTGCTTGTGATGGCGAGTCAGCAGCAGGATGCGGAGATGGGCGATGGTACCAACTTGGTTATTGTGTTGGCCGGTGAATTGTTGAAGAAGGCAGAGGAGTTGATCCGTATGGGTCTCAAGACGAGTGATATTGTTTCCGGATACGAGAAGGCTCAGAACTTTGCCTTGTCCGTTCTAGAGGGTATGTTATTCCCATTTATGATTGGTTTATCGATATACGAATGAGGGAATGTTGCTGATTCCGTCTAGAGCTCGAGGTCGACAGACTCCAGGATATGCGATCGGCAACAGAATTGAGCAAGGCTCTCCGCACAGTGGTGGCCTCCAAGCAGTCCGGCACGGAGGATACTTTGGCTGCGTTGGTTGCGGAGGCGGTTCTGGCTGTGTTGCCCAAGAACCCCATTAACTTCAACGTCGACAACGTGCGCGTCGTTAAGATCATGGGTGGTAGCTTGGAACAGTCGAAGGTGGTGAAGGGTATGGTCTTCCCCCGGGAGCCCGATGGAACTATCAAGAAGGCCACCAAGGCCAAGGTCGGCGTTTTCAGCTGCCCCATCGATATCAGCCAAACCGAGACCAAGGGCACAGTTCTCCTGAAGAATGCTCAGGAGATGATGGACTTCACCACGGGTGAGGAGGATCGTCTGGAGGTTGCCATTAAGGAGCTTTACGACTCCGGCCTCCGTGTGGTCGTTGCCGGCTCCACCGTTGGCGACTTGGCCATGCACTACCTCAACCGTTTCAACATCCTTGTTATTAAGATTCTGTCTAAGTTCGAGCTCCGCCGCTTGTGCCGCGTTGTCGGTGCCACACCTCTGGCTCGCCTGGGTGCCCCCATGCCCGATGAGATGGGCCAGATTGACATTGTCGAGACCACCGAGATTGGCGGTGACCGAGTGACCGTCTTCCGCCAGGAGGATGCCAACGCCATCACCCGCACAGCCACCATTGTCCTGCGCGGTGCTACCCAGAACCACCTTGAGGATATCGAGCGTGCCATCGACGACGGCGTCAACGTCGTCAAGGCCATCACCAAGGACCCCCGTCTCGTGCCCGGTGCCGGTGCCACTGAGATCGAGCTCGTCGAGCGCATCTCCCACTTCGCCGACCGAACCCCCGGTCTGCCCCAGTACGCCATCCGCAAGTTCGCCGAGGCCTTCGAGGTCGTCCCCCGCACACTCGCCGAGTCTGCTGGTCTCGATGCCACCGAGGTTCTCTCGCGTCTGTACACCGCACACCACCGCACCACTGCTCCTGGCGAGTCATCTTCCGAGGAGGATGAGGAAGAGGCTAGCTCGTCTGAAGATGAGGAAGCATACTGGACTACAGGTGTGGACCTTGAGATTGGCGACTCCGACGGCACTCTGGACACTGTCGAAGAGGGTATTCTGGATCTTATGGCTACAAAGATGTCTGCGATCCGTCTGGCCAGTGAGTCTGCCCGGACGGTGCTGAGTGTTGACCAGATCATCGTCTCGAGACAGGCAGGTGGCCCTAAGCCTCCGCAGGGTGGAGGTGATTGGGACCAGGACTAAATTTTTAAAAAAAGGAGCGATGAGGGTCTGGATGCTGTTTGATAATATGAGGCCTGTAGATCTTCATACGATGATATGCTTTTTAAGAACTATACGTTATAGACTCTCATTTTCTTCTGCAATGAAAAGTAGCCTAGAATGGCTGCTATGCAATTGCACTACAAACTATTTCCGGCAATTTAACGGCAATAGCACGGTGATTACTATTCAACCTCCGCGGTGTTATCCAATTCATATAAAAACCAACTTTGATCTTATCTTATAGAACCTACCAAGTTTCAACTCAACTGTGTCACTCACCATGAACGAAACAAGCCAAATGGCATTGGCGCACTTTTATTTTTACTCATTCCTTTACGGCCAACGTTATCCTTGCCGTCCTCTTCGCTATACTTCTATTTGTACCTATGGCAGCTATTACGGTTACGCCTTGGGTATGCTTAGTGGCCTGCTCTTGGAGCTTTTGGCAACGCAACACATTCCAAAGTCCAACTTTCACATAACCGAGCAGATAAAAGTTCATATATCATGTGAGAGGCTGCCAAATGCATCAAATATGCATCTGTTTCCAAGGTTGTTCTTTTCACTCACATCCCTCTGGAACTGACTTGAGATTTATATTATTGAGTCACATTGTGTTTACTCAAGCGCTGCGATTACCCACATTTCTAAATTTTTATCACCACCGTCGGCGGATATTTTGTCGACAATCATCGTCATATCCCGTTTCTGGTTCCGCCCGCTGGATTTCCGCTGAGGTACCGGCTGAAACGGATAGAATTCCTTTGCATGAGAGACACAGTGGAGAGGAAGACAATGCGAATTGGTATCAGGGAACTTCATACATTTGGTATATAGGAATGAATGGATCTCTTGGAATTGCCTATATTTAGATACCATCCATGGATATATTTTATAACTACCAAAATTGGATGACCTAATCAAATATAAGAATGGATGTGTAATTTTGTTGGCTTGATAGATTTAGGATGCCTCAGGCAAAATAAATCACGTGCCACTCCCAGATTTTCCTCGAGTGTTTCCTTTCGGTCTTGATATCAACGAGCCGCGATTCTAATCCCCACCACTTTTCTCTAATTCCCCTTTCTCTCGAGCTTTCCGCCCCTTTCTCACCTCCGCCATGTCCTTCTCCACCCAGGCCGCAGCCCGCTGCGCCAGACAGCTCTCCGGCTCCGTCCGCCCGTCCTCCCTGCGCATCGCGACCTCCGCTACATACCTCACAGCCCGTCGCACACCCAGCAGCCGGCGATGCGAATCCACCCAGGCAGCCCCTGCTGCTGCTACCAACCCCAAGATCTCCCAGATTGTCGACCAGATCAGCACATTGACTCTGCTCGAGACTGCCGATCTGGTGTCTAGCTTGAAGGTGTGTTTGAGAATCTACACATAACCGATGAACTTCCAAACGAGACATGCGAACTCTGCATATCTCCCTCTATCTACATCATCGCTCTACTCAATTGAGGTACTTTTCTGAACTATGCTGATCAAATCTTTTATACAGACCCGCCTGAACATCCCCGACCTCCCCGTCGGCGGCTTCGCCATGGCCGCTGGTGGTGCCCCCGGTGCGGCCGCTGCCGTTGAAGAGGAGGAGGCTGCTCCCGCCGCCGCCGAGAAGACGCTGTTCAACTTGAAGCTCGAGTCATTCGAGCCTACCTCCAAGCCCAAGGTCATCAAAGAGATCAAGACCATGCTCGGCCTATCGCTGGTGGACAGCAAGAAGTTCGTTGAGTCCGCGCCCAAGATTCTGAAGGAGTCTGTGCCCAAGGAGGAGGCAGAGAAGCTCATCGAGACGTTCAAGGCGCTCGGTGCCAAGGCGACTATGGAGTAAAACAGCTGTGTTATTATTTAGACACGGGGAGGAGATAGATTGGGAAGAGAGTCGGGGAAGATGTTGTTGTTTTGGGTCTTTTTCTCCCTTTTCCTCTCTTTGGGTTTTTGCTATTGAGAGATCTTGTTAAGCATTTATTGTGTTTGGCCTGGCAGATCAAGGCAAAATGTACATTATACGCATTGTGTTCTGAGACCGTCTGGTACAGAGGGCTCGTTTGGTTAATTGATGCATTTAGCATATCGATGCTATTCTATTAATTTTAAAATCAGTAAATATCTTTGAATTCTAGTTTTGGCGTATGGTCAAATTGGTAGATCTAAATACCGGAGTAGCTTCGCGGTGAAGTTTCCCGATCTCCAGATGTTCAACCAGAAAAAACCTCCCCTCACCTACTACCTCCACCATTTGCCCTCCGCACTTTTTTTAATGGCTAGACCACTGGCTTCACCGTTACAATGGCGTCAATTACACCAAGCTCTCTGTCCGACATCCCACGCCTTGCGTCACCAACGCGCGCAAGCTTGCACCGCTCGAGCTGTTCCCAATAGTAACACAACTACGTTGAAACGACCCTTCCATACCACTCAAACTCGATCAGCTGTCAGGCCATCTCGCAAAGCACCATCTGTTCGAAAAGAAGCGAGGGAGGGGATACCCCGGAATGTGTTGGTAGCCCGAGGCGGAGTGAAACTAGACCGTGATGGGTACTGGAATAGTTATTGTACTGCGCATGTTGAACCAACGCTGGCCGAGTTTAAGCAATTCACACGCCAACTTTATGAGACTTATCAGAACTTCATACCGCCGGGTGTCAACGTGGCGACGTTCGGGTCTGTGGGTGAACAGTTGATCAGGCTATCGCACTCGCAGCTCCCTTCCGCAAGTCTTGTTCGGAGTATCTCAATAGGTGAGTTTAAGCAAATTACTATATACGAAAGACTACGCATTGGATATCGTGATATTAACCATACGCTTTGTTATAGATGTTGACGCCGTTTATCGAATCGCGCTCATTCTTGCGGATCTTCAGAAAGGCCAGTTCGTTTATCAATGGGCGCTGACCAGCTGCGCAAAAGCGAATTCGCGTCGAGCCCTTGTCGAACTCGTGAACCGGTATATCAGTACGGAAGGTGTGGACATTTATCAGAATACCGAGTGCATAGCGAAAGTCAAAGACTTGGCTCTCAAAGATGAATTCCCCCATGCCATTATGCTATATGCCAAACTGCTCATCTGGCGTGGTGAGAATGCAGAAGCCGCCCGGCTTCTAGAGCAGAAAATTCTACCATATCTGCAACCCACTCGCAAGTACCCTCCCCTTTGGGAGGATATAAAGATGTTGAACAACTTTGATTCGCCCTGGCGGATGTACGCTGTTGCTGTTGAGAAGGAACAAGGTCTGGCAGGAATCCAGAGGGCCACGCGCCGGGCCGCCCTGGAGTTCCACGACCCAGTCGCCATGACCGACTATGCTATCTCGGTGTTGGAAACGGAGGCCGCCAATAAATACGAGGCGTACGAGTCGTACATGGCCGCCGCTGCGTTGGCGGGACACACCCCAGCCTGCTTTCACCTTGCCAATTTCTATTACCGCACCTCTCAAGGCGAATTTACCACCGAAGCAGAGAGAAACGCCAAGGAGAGGGAAGAGGCCAATGCCGCGCGCAGCGCCTTGTTGAGACGATTTGAACCCATAGCAAATTGGGTTTATACGTTGTTCAACCAACCCATGGATCGCGAGACATACCGCATGCTCGCGATGGATTGGTACGAGCTTGCTTTTGATAAAGGGAACAGTGAGGCCGGGTATATCCTGGCTATGCTCTTCCGCGAGGATGGCAATATGGAGAAGAGCCGTGAGGTGTACAAGCTTACTGCTGAAAAGGGACTTCCTACCTCATTGTCCAAGAAAAGCCTAGTAGAGATGAAGGATAAGTGGGAAGACCAGACCTTCAACCCTGGTCTACCTCCTAAGCTCTTGAGACTTGCCTAGATGGTCTAGAACTGTTGTGCGTATTGTGTGTATATCTCTTCTGTACATTTACTTTTTTTTTTTTTTTTTTTGCCTATATCCCATTGTGTATCATCGCAATGTTTCTTTTTGGGCCATGATTGACACCTTTTCTTCTATATATCCCTCGCTCCCAAGCATTCGTGTCTCATGTCGCTTATTCCGTGCTAAATTGACGGAAAAGGAAAGTAAAAAAATAATCAGAACTGTCGTTATGATTGGAAAAAAAAAAAAAAAAAGAAGAATCGAATGCCATCACTGTTTCATCTCCGACTCCAAATCCCCTTTCCTCATGCCAACCCGACACAAAGCCATTCACAGACTCCAAACCAAAAAGTTATTGGAACCATGATAGTATCAACACAACAGAGGAAGAGAAAGGATTCCCCAAGAACCCCGAACCGATCACCGCCTTTTCTTCCCCTTCCCCTTCCCATGCCCTCTCGTCTTCAACTCCACAAACCCAAGCTCCTTCAACCCCTCTGCAAGAATGGACGAATCCCTCATCCCAGGAAAATCCTTCGCAGGATACACACGGAACGGATCAGACCACGCCTCCGCAAGGATTGGCATCGATTGCCCCGTATCCTCAACAGAACCCCAATTCATCAACCGGAACTGGAGCCTGTAAAGGCCCGCCGAGCGAATCGAGAGATCCGCGAAGATGAAAAAGGTAGCCGGTTGGTGGAGGCGCGAGGCGGCGTGGTTGTAGGGGTTGGGAGGGGGGTTATCGAGATGAGGATCGGTTATGAAGGATGGGTGTGCGGGTGCAGAGTTGGGGTCTGGGTCTTCGTCGACGTAGAAGGGGGACATGAAGGCTTTGCCGGATAGTAATGGGGTTGAGTAGTTGTCGTCTGTGCGGGCGATGCCGTCTGTTTCCCGTTCTCTTTCTCGTTCGCGTTCTCTATCGTGGTTCCGATCCCGGTCCCGGTCTTGGTCTCGGTCGTGATCGCGCTCGCGTGAATTTGTTTCTGTTGGTTCGGCCCATGGCAGAGAAGGCGAGACGGGGAACAGTAGACAGCCCACTGTGAAGCGGGGGTCTTGGAGGAGATCCCGGTCATCTTGCGAGTTGGAGTCGAAGTCGGTAAGGAGGATCTGCACGATTGGGGGAGGGTCGACTGGGCGGCGGTCTCTGTCGCCTGCGCCGCAGGCTCGTGCTGCGATGGGCTGTTGTCGGATGTGGAGATGGTATCGGGATTGGGTTGATGGTCGTCTGGGTGGTGGAGGAGGTGATGGTGATTTTGGCTCTGGTGAATGGTGAAGGAGCCTGTCGAAGCCGTGTGGCATTCTATAATTCGCATTTCGGTACTGTGGTTTTGGGTCTTGGTGGGTGGTGGCTGAGATAGAATTGAATGGGTGGATGGCAGCGCTTTTATCTGACCAGACGGGGCTGGGCATGGCCGTGGAAGAACTGCTGTGTCTAGATAAATTTCGTGGTCAGAATGTGGTTCTTGTTCGAATATCTCTCTGCGTTGTGTAACCTGTCACAGATGTGACATGGGAAGGAGCGATTGTGTTCGAAATCTCAAAACCAAAGACATCGCATCAGGACGGACCACTGACAGATAGAGGTGGTTCAATCGACAGAAACAAAAAGAGAGGGACTTTACTGGGACTCCACGTCGTATGTCCAGCTCCGGTGACTATCATAGTCACGGGCATGGCTCGAAGTTGGGTATGTTCTCTCTTCATATGGGTTGTAATAACCGCGGGCATTAGAATTTCCCGGGGGTTGCTGATATGTTCGCAGAGGGAGTGCTTGTGGCATAGGTTGTGTGTTTATGTAGGCATTGTCGGACGAGAGCATGTATCGTGAATCTGCGCTTCTCTCCGGAACAACCAAGGCAGGAAGCCTTGGACCAATGGGCGGCGCCCCGAGTATAGGGCGCTCATAGCTCGTGCTCTGTATAATCTGTCGAGGTTCATGTCTGTATGGATAGGGCATGGGTATCGAGCTGCGATGTTGAGTGCGGGGGACCGAATCGATGTATGGCCGTTCCGGTGTGGAATTCCCACATTGCTGTGGCGGTGGCCTCGACATCTATCGGGGACTTGCGCAAGTGCCAACGGGTGGTCCTTGTGTTATAGTTTAGATATTGCCGTATTCGGGTTTGTTTCAGATGAGGGAGGTATCAGTGGAGGCATTGAAATATAACCCACGAAGCCAGATAATCAAAATGAGAAAAGAGTCAATGTCCCAGGTAGAATTATGTATGTTGGGAGTGGAAAAGAGAAATAGCATGTCAAAAATGCATATCCGGTCAATGAAGGCATCTGATAAACGAATGCAGCCGGTTAACAGCAAGGCCACATGACACGATTTTCGGTATGGTCCTTTTTTTCTTTTTCGCTGGCTCTGAGATTGGATCTATACTTCCCTCGGAGGGATTCGCTCGCCACCAATTTTCCTCAGGAACTAGGGGGAAAAACGTCAATAAGCAAAATTGAAAACACCCCTGTCCAGTTTCCCCGGGCTATCCAATCACCCGAAAGCTGGAATATGACAGGGACCCGGTGGGAACGGCACCAACAGGATACTCCGTACTTTTCCTCGGGGTTTAATAGAAACACATCTTGGATTAATGCTCTACGATTGGCGCTGTATCCACTGATGATGAGAAAGGGAAGAGCCGGGGGAACGGGCCGAGCGGGTTTTGCCACGAGAAAGGGAGACCAGTACTAAGTGGGTGTCTGTGGACAGACATGGGTGTGTGGGCTGTGCCTCCATGAGAATGGTGCGTGGAGCTGGCTGAACTAGGGACTGCTCCCTGGCAGAAACTGGCGGGAATCTCTAATTCGAAAGACGGTCAGGATATTGAATATGAGTGGAAGTCGTTCTGCATTGTGGAACTCGCGTGTACAACTGGGAAGAGTTTCCTAGGAACCGAGGTGCTTCGAAGTATCTCGTGTTGCAAGTGTACAGGTCGCCTGTTTCCGACCTATAGGGATAGCGCGAATGGGGCGTAAAAAAAAAAGGACAAAGTAACAAAGACCTTGCGGAATTGTGCCTTTTTGCGAACCGGTCGGTCTACGGAGTTGCAGTGGGCCACAATTTGGACTATAGGGGGACACTATCGTGTCTTAGCCCATCCAAAATGTGTAAATAGTACAACGTATGAAGTATTCCGTATGGAGTACGGTGTAACGGGTCTTTCGACGGAGAAAACTCAGACCTCCGCTTTATAGAGTACAGGAGCGCAAATTTGCCGGATGCTGACCGACAAGCCTTTGGGGCAGCTGGTATCAACCCGGTTTTCAAATCCCAAGTGGCTGGAGCTGGAAGCTGCAGTGAGGCGCGGTGATTGGCGTTCGACCGTTGCTTGGCAATCCTTTAGACAAGGATCTGCCCCCCTCCCCCCACACTGGGGAATTTGGAAGCTGTGTTCAGGACTCACAATGATAGTGGGCTTGATAGGTATACGATGTAGTCCCGGGGAATAGATTTCGTAGTAAGTGGTAAGCTTTTCGGAGGAAAACCCAGAAGCATAGAAACCGGCAAGTTCATCAGATAGCCTTCCTGGAATTCAAAGTCAATTAACATTCTCGGATAATGCTCTTACCATTGCACCCGCTCGTGGGCCACCCAGTGGGCTTTGACAATTCCAATTGGGGATGGGATAATGATCGTTTGCTGTCAGATCCATCGGCGAGGCAGCTGCAATTTGGTGAAAGCGAACGAACTAAGGTTAGGTAGACGGAATGGGTCCAAGCGCTAGAGGCAATTAATTGTCGCTAAGAATAATGGATCCGAGAATTGTTCCTACATCATATGTGGCGCTTTGCCAATGCTGTGGGCCATTTTTGAAGATTTTGCAGCCCAATGTTGGAAGAATTCGTCCAATGGAATTGGAATTCTTCGAGCAATTGCAGGAATTTGTCAAGGGTGACCCATTTGAGCCCTGAACATCAGCAGATGTAGGAACTAAGACCTCTTGGGCTTCCACATTCGTTCTCATGCGCCGATTTTAGAGACCAGATCATAACGATGCAATGCTTGCTTGGTGGATGAGCATCAAATACCCTATGATGTAGGCCGCGAATCCACACGAGTCAAAGATTTTTCTTGTATGCACCCCTACGTCGAAGTGTGGCTGCGTTGGCTGTTCGTTGTGGTTCCGGTACAATAACATGACTGCCGCCTTGAGAGCCTTGCAGATCTGCAGTTGTTGCGTGCTGCAAGAGTGCAATAATCCAGGTCTCCATGTGCTCATCGCCACACAGCCGGCCAGAATAGGAAGAGATTTCCGACAAGCCGCATTCATAGCAAGCCATATCCAAGACTTCAAAGGCTTCGAAATCAAATGGGTGGCGTCCCCCCATCTAAACCGACGATCCTGATGTTGAAAATGGCGTGGGTGGCTTGACTCCCTGTGTGTAAAATTCATCTCAGTGCATATCACTGGTAAACTGATCACATCTCCAAGGACACCGAGACAAACCGAGCTTGGATCATGACCCTAGTCGACTGCCGATCAAAAATTGCTGATTGGGAGGGGTATATTCAAGGGTACGGAGGTCTCCATGGGACTCTAGACGAAGAAGTAGAATATCGTAAAGCTTTTTCTTATTGAAGATATGAGTGATATTGGAGATGGAAGAGTAGCTGAAAAGGACGTAACAGGCGACTACAGTGTTGTGGTACATCTCGATTCTGCCGAAGCACATCACCGCTCAGTCATATCAACATCCCATCATATTCATCTGTTCGTCAAGTGAAATTTTATGCTTTCATGATTTCACGGGTATTTCACATGCAGGGAAACACTTAGTACTCTAGATCTGCACTTGGATCTACATCCAAATAGTAAGGTCCCCAGCAATTTCGAGAATGAGTGCGTGTGCCACTAGGATAAAATGTTCGCTCAGGATTGGCTGACAGCGTGAGATGCATCAAGGCACCAAGAGGGCCATCTGAAGGTGCTGGTCCACTGTCAATGACCCCGGTGTCCTGCCCAACGTAAAGCCCGAGGAGTTCCCCGTAATGACGGTCCCAAACCACGATATAACCTGACGGCTGCCATGGTTCGTCTGGTCCATACCGCATATCCATGCAGCCGACTTGCATTAAATGTAAGTTATCGACCCCCATTTGAGGAACTCCATGAATGATCAAACGAGCCCGAATAAGGCCTAGGGTGGATGGGGTCATAGGCTCAGAAGAATCACGCAGCGCCGGAATTTGGGAGTTGGAAAATTCGATCGGTGAGTGTCCTGGTACCCATCGGAGTTCAAGCGATCCAAACTTGGAGTGGAATTCATCAAGCCGTGCCGCATTGTAATCAAGATGAGTGGCTATCTTTTGGGATTGTCCGTCGTGGTCATTCAACAGATCTACGACCCTCCCCAGCGTAGCCGGAGACTTGGAGCAGCCATGAGCATAAAGTTCTGCATACAACTGCCCTCCATGATCAGAATCAACGGATTTGTTATCAATCTTGGGCAAAAGTTGATCATCAAATGCTGCCCAGGTTGTTTCTGAGGGATCCAAGGCCGCACTGAAATGGCTTTGACTTTCAGGGCTCCATTGAACACCTATCCTTCGATCCATGTCCTCAAGGCAAAACCCAAGCAGTTCGAGATAGTCCTCTCCCCTCACTAGGTCAGGTAGTGCCTCACCCACAACAGGATCATCAAGGAGGAATCGAATATTCGGAAACTTCGCAATGAATGGCAAGTTATCACCACAATGTTGAGAGATATCTTCCAACCATTTCGCTGCTGTTTCTGATTGAACATTTTGGACTAGAGCCAGCACTACCTGATAGGCAGCGATGCAGCTTTGATGGCTTTTAGGCTGAATATTATTTAAAAAAAGAGACCAGCATCTGTGCAGCACTTCATCGTTCCCAAGCCTAGCAAGTAGACAGATATAATCCTGGGCCTTATTATCAGAATTGAATCGGTTGCCAATTTGATCAGTTGACTGCGCCCAGAACAATGTGTCATGCAAATTGTGATTTTGTGCCACAAGTTCTCCTTCGCCTGTAATCTCAGCAAGGATGGGACTAAGATCGTAGTATGGGTCCTCAAAAGCTTTGCAGTCAAGTGCCTCAGAGCAATATCGGACTACCCGCAAACTTTCCTTGAGACTTAGGGCTGGAAAGCCCATCTGGTGGTGCCCATCCAAGCAGTGCCTGAGATCTGAAGTCGAAAGATCAAAAGATGCAAAGTATAACGCTATAGTGTACATCCCAGGTTGGATAGGAAGCTGGAGGCGCTTCAGCCTTGCAAACAAGTCACGTAGCACAGACAGGATTTCTGCTAGTGTGTTTTTCCGTTGACAGCGTCGCAAAGCGTGATGTAATGGCAAACAATTACGAGTCTGCAGGATCTCTGCTCCATGTCTGTCGTTGACATATCTCTCAATTAGACTCCGCAAGGATGAGACATCGGTAATATCGCTATTGGCATCCCACAACAACTCTTGGTTCCGCGCTGTAAGCCCTTTGAGGGAGGTCCACAACGGCGGAGGTGGAGTGTTGAGTTTCCAGTCGGTGGCAAAAAGTCCACGAAGGTGCCCAGATAAGACCTCGTTATTATTCGATTCATGGATTGGCTTAGTTGAATCTGTTAGGGCGAATCGAAGCAGTTCAGATGGTGATGGGTCATGGAGTCGTTTGATTGTTGCAGGATAGATGCTGCGCACCGATTGACGTGACAATACATTCCCAGTGTTCAGCTGTCGCCTTGATTGCAGCAGCAGTAACCGAGTGTGCAACGGTCTCATGTTGACTAAAGTAAAGCTGATCTGAGATGTGGAGAACCTCGAAGATAAACACGGACCGATAAGGGGTTAAGTCTGGGGTTTGACTGGCAGATTAAGGGCGGTGTGAGAGGCGGTAATGGACCGCATTCGCGCTTTTATTTCGTCTTCAAACCAGCTTCCATTTATTATCAACTTAGCTGCCAACAAAATAACCACCGCTTTCTATCCATAGCTGCTGTTGATCTATTGATTAACCCGAGGAAATTATGGTTCGAACCAGAAATGCGGATAAATCCGCGAAGGACGAGGCGAGCCAAGAACAGTCCATTGAGCAACCGACCGAGCAACCGACCGAGAACACGAGCGAATTGCATGTCACGACATCTGAAAACAATGACGAATCTCAACCAGAAAACACAAAGGATGACGGTGCATCCAAAGCGCGCGAGCGAATGAACAGGTTCAAAGCCCTGCAGGCTCGAGCTGTAAGTAGTCCTCAAAAATGACTTCCGCAAATCAATAGGATTGGCCAGTCCTACCCCATCACATAACTGATGCAGCATATAGAAATCTGCAACGGAGCGCAACCTAAAAGAGACTGCGGCTGAGTCCCAGCGTCTGACTACGGACCCGGCTCTGCTAAATACATTGTCCCGCAAGCATGCATTCGCCTCCCACAACCTCCTCAAAGCAGACACGGAAGCTAGCGGAGAAGATTTTGAGCGCAAGCGCGCATGGGACTGGACAGTCGACGAATCGGAGAAGTGGGATAGGCGCATGGAGAAGAAGCAACGCCACCGAGATGACGTGGCTTTCCAGGACTACACTCAAGATGCGCGGAAGATTTACAAGAGACAGTTGAGGGAAATGGCGCCGAACTTGGAGTCCTACGAAAAGGATAAGCTTGCTGCGATCGAAAGAGCCGCGGCTAACGGCGATCTCGAGATTGTGGAGACAGAGGATGGTGAAATGATTGCAATCGACAAGAACGGTAGCTTCTATTCCACTGCAGACTCGACTGGATTTACGGAAAGCAAACCAGATCGGGCTGCTGTTGACAGACTGGTCAACGATATCCAGAAGGCAGAGGAGGTGCGCCTGAAGAAACGCAAGGAGCGCCGTGGTGGTGATGATGACGCGGATGTGACATATATCAACGAGAAGAACAGGCAGTTCAACCAGAAACTCGCTCGCTTCTACAACAAGGTCAGTGTTCCCTTGCTCTGTTTTTGTGTGATCGTTTCGCTAACATTTTTCTAGTACACCACCGAAATTCGGGACAGCTTCGAGCGTGGCACCATGATCTAATTTGAATGTGAAATTGATTGCGGTATTTTACATGAGTGGAACTTCCGAGCTATACAGCTGTACTTGGACAAAGCATCAATCAACAAGCAGAGATCCAGCACATTTCCCCCTCTGCCCCAAAAAAAACATTGTTTTACAAACATACACATCACTTGATCAGCCAACATACCTAAAGCATCGTCTTTCGCCAGGCTTTTGTTGCAAGTGCCTCAATCTGTTTTGTTCCGACTGCACCCTTGGTGGACTCATCCTCCAATGCCTCGACCACCGCTTCGCTGACGATATCGGCCTTGAGGGGCTTTTCGGCCATAGCCCCGAGGAACCCGAGCTTATTCCCGAGGAATGTGTTGAGCTCTGAGGCAACAAAGCCACCCATTGCAATTGGCAGCGTGAACTTCCGACTCGAGTCATACATGAAGCCCGGGCGTATGAAGACGCTTCTTAGGTCCGGAAGTTTGGATGTGATAGTTGCCTCTGCTTCTCTTTTAGTACTGATGTACCTAGCCGGTAGGATCGGTGACCCGGCCGCCGCAGAGATGTAAACGAAGGTCGGAACATGTTCATTGACGGACTCTTTGGCTAGTGCAATTGCTAAATCACACATGTGTCAGCTTTCGAAACAGACTTTAGAACTCTTGTACACACCAGAATCTCGATTCATCAGCTCATAGGTCAGCTGTTTATCTTTCTCCTTTGGCTCCAAAGCCTCGCCTTCTTGTCTCGTTAAAGGGTTCTGGCTTCCAAGCTTAGATGTACTAAAAGCTCGTTGAAGGCCGCTAAGAATTGGTTCCCTCCCTTGCACAACGCCTTTGTAGTCGGCTTCCAAAAGAATTCCCATTGAGTGGACAACAGCAGAGGCACCGTGCAAATGTGGCTTGTAGCTCTCTGGCTTGAGGATATCGGCCTTGGCCCATTCCACGGAGCCTGCCCAGCTAGGCCGTTCCCGAGAATCGGTGATTGTGTCCCACCGAGGCTCACCAGATCGACTAGACAATGATCAGCATTTCCCTCTTCTATAGATCCATACATAAGCGGGAAGGCTACCTTAATGATATAACTGTCCATCCCCTTGCTGTTGCGGCTTTACAGATCCTGGATCCTGGAATAGCTAGTCAGTAAAATGGTATTTCTATTTTGCCCTGGATGGGCATCACAAACCCAAAAAACCACTTCCTCCGGCGACGACTAGTCTTTTGGTCGACATGCTGTAGCTTCGATAGCTCCGGAGATGATATCACTAAGAACCGGAACAGTAGCCCAGGGTATTTAGGCTCGCAATTGACACTTCAGAGCTGAGCTGAGGAGGTCAATATCAAAGCTATCCAACAAGCGAAACAGTGAAATAGTTCAAGGTAATTGTCTCTTGACTAGAACTTTGAAGCTGCATTCGGCATCATTCGCCTTCTTGTCGGGCCACTTGAGCCACGCCGGATTATCCTTTTTCCCGCGACTTTCTTGCGCCCTGTTCTGGACAATCCATTCCCGTCTGTTTCTACAATCTACAATCAACTTACAAGATGGTATCTGCCACAGGAAACAAGCGCGTCAGGGTAAGCTTCAAAGCCTGGGAAATTTGGAAATCAACCTAACATGCTCGCAGGGTGTCTCGGTGTTCCGGCCATTTGGTATGTCCGCAAAGCGCGCATCATCGCCAACAGCCACAAGCTAACAAACCCAGTATTTGGCAGTATAGCGCACCCCTTCGATCCCGAGAATAAGCCTCCAAACTGTCCTCCAGACCACACCCACAGGTGGGAGATATTCGTCAAGGGAGTCAACGGCGAAGATATCTCCTACTGGCTAAAGAAAGTCCAATTCAAGCTGCACGAGACATACGCCCACAATGTGCGCTCGATCGAGCAGTCTCCCTTCGAAGTTTCTGAAACTGGCTGGGGTGAATTCGAAATTCAGATCAAGCTCTACTTTGTGGCCGAGTCAAACGAGAAGCCGCAAACATTGTGGCATAGTCTGAAGCTACACCCTTACGGCCCAGATGCGGAGGGAATGAAAGAACGTCGGGAAACTGTGATCAGCCAGAACTATGAAGAGATCATTTTCAATGAGCCCGTTGAGCCGTTCTACGAGATCCTCACCGGAGGCTTTGCTGGTGGTCAGCCTGGCAAGAGCAAGGGAAAGAATACCAAGCAGATTGGAAATGGCAGGACAGCGGATATTCCGATGAGTGATGCGCCCGGGAACCCATACAGTCGGATGACCGAGAGGAAAGAGCTTGATCGCATGGCCGGGGCCACTCAGACAGTTGAGCAGATGATCAGGGAAGAGAAGGAACGCTTGATCGAGCGAGAGAAGTATCTGGCCCAGCTGCGAGAGAGTGAGGGTGTGCCAGCCAACACGAAGAAGCGGTGATTGCTTCAAGCTCCTTTTAAACCAAGAACCACCCAGGCCATTGCCGTGTGGTTGACTTTTGAGCACCCCGTCAGAATGTGCCTCTCCAACAACCCTCATCACCCCGGTTCAAACGATCCTCAGTACTGGGACTTTTTTGAGTGGCTGTACTGCCCCGAACAGTCGAAGTTCGTGTCTTTACGCTGATAATCGCCTGGCCACAAGATCTAGCCTGTCTGTTTCCACCCAATTCGTCACAACTATTGCATTGTATGCCAGCTACGATCAAAAGAGGCTCGAATATGTGCGTCATCGCATGTTTGTGCCTAGGAATCACATTGGGCCCTTTTCTCATTACTGCAAGCTGGAACGTCGCAGACTATCCTTCAGGGAGTCCTGGGAATGCACCGGGGATTCCTTTTAAATCATATTCATACCAAGTTTGCAAGAAGCTTAACTCGGGTGTCTGCCACTTACCTGGGAAAGGGAAATCCTACAAGGATACAGTCCTATCGCTGTTGATGTACCCCCAGGTCTCCGGGTGTATCCTATGCTAGTTCATGATATGATTCTCTGTTTAGGAAGGCCATTTTGAACAATAGTACTAGTGGCAACCAACCAATATCAATCTACAATATGGAAAGACAAGTCTATATCACAAAATGTTCGTTCAATCATCGCATGTCCATCTGAACATCTAGCACTTGGCATCTTGAACCGTATCTCTGGTCTTTTTCAGGAAGGGTATCAGATCCGTACCACCAGTCCCAGCAAGCTTAGTCTTCGCGCCTCCTTCTTTCATTTGAGAGCTGGCCGTGGCTAGATTCATTTTGCCTTTCCCCTGTTCAACTGGATTAGGCTGCCTCGACGCCATGATAATGTATCGAGTGACCATCTGGATGTGTGTATCACGGAAAGCTTTGAGCTCATTCACAGCGGCGTTGTATGCATCCTTCAGCGGCTGAACCGGCGAGTCCAGTATAAACGGACGAACGTTAGCTCGATCAGATAGCTCTTCAAGAAAGCGTCTATGTGGACCAGGCATGTAGTCTCGCATTTGCTGTATTTGGTGTTAATATTTATTCACACATGTCTAGAGATAGACATCGAAGACCGATATCGCGTTGGTGTTCTTACCTGAATAAAACTCGGACCACAAGCCTGCTTCCCATCCGTCGCAGAGTGCTTAATACCAAGGAAAATATCAAGTGCTTGAATCAGCGAGCTCTGTGCATTACTCCCACCACTCAACTGGAGCCAATTTTCCGGTCGTTCCACTCCATCGCTATCACCAATATCATAATACACACCATTGGGAAGACCAGCATGACCCATATTCTTACTGCCAGCCAAGAACGGCCGCAGCTGGTGGAAGAAGACAGTCGGCTTGTTATGCTCGTACATCCTTTTCAGAGTCAATGTGAGGTCACACAAACCGTCGGCGAACCTGCACAAGAGGGCAGTGAGTAGGTCTACGTCGTTGGCAGTAACTGACTTGAAGGCGTCCCGCATCAACGAGATGAGCTTGATGCCTTTGGCTTCAACGGCGACGGAGATCACCATAAACCATTCCTCATCTTTTGTGCCGGTAAAGGAGGTTTGAACGTGGAGGTTGTCTGGGTCTGTGATGTCTGCTTCTGGGTGGGAAGGTATGAAGTTCCATAGTGTGAGGCCGGCGTAGGTAGCGCAGGCAGGAAGCTCGAGGTGGGCTGATATCTCAAGGAATGGTTTTGAGATAGAGGGGGGCAGTCTCTGTTGACTGGATGTTAGGAACGTCTTTGAACGGAAAGGAAAGGGTGCGTGGGTGCTCACGTCTTTTGGGGTCTCCCCTCCCCAGATATAGGCATGGGCGAGATACCCCATGATAACACATGCTCTTCGCCATTCTGGTTCTGTCTGAAGATGCTCAGTCGTGCAGACGGGCATATTATCGATTTTCTCGCGGATTTGGCATGTTTGGATGAGGGTTGGGAGTTGGCTGGCTATATCCTCCCAGGTCTCGTAATAGGGGTTTGAAATCCTGGCTAGCGGAAGGCCATCTGAGAGAAAACCCTGCTCGGCATAATCTTCGAAGAGATCATTGAGGGTAGCATCTGTTGATTGCAACATCGTGGATGATGGATCGTGGAACAGTGTGAGGGAGGGAGGGAGAACAATGTCTGGCGTGGTATGAACAAAGACGAAGGGAAAAGACAGCCTTTGAGATTTATAGTGCAAGAATAGATTTAGTGCTATATGGCTTCATTATTGAAATATCTTACTGCATCGGCTTGTATCGGGCCCATTTAGTCAAGATATCTATACAACCCGGAAGATATCCGGATCTATCTCCGTCTTCCGTCTCTTCATGGATAAAATAACCGTGCGACATGAGCCGTAGATAGGCTTAGTTCTGCTTAGTTCAACCTTATAGGTATAGAAAATGTTTGGAATGTAAATTCATTTCCTGCCAAATCAATAAAAAAATAAAAAGATAAAACATAAAAAAATAACCGAAACAAATCCTTTCTGAGTTCGATGTTGCGGTCAAGACTAGATGATTCTGTTTGGTATCAAACATTTTGATTGTTGTTTGTTAGCTGGTCTGCATAGAAGGCAAGTCATCTGTAAATATGGATGGCGTCATAATGCAAGGCATGGGAGATAGACGCAATGTATCCTTTATGTTATACATCGGCGAGATCATAAAATAATATGCAACGATAGCTATGTGGACCACTAAGAAAGAGGATAGAGACGGATCGGGGGAGACGGAAACGGAATACCATCCGGGTTGGTATCGTTGCATCTCTTTTGAAGGTCCCTGGTCTCCGATTCGGTACTTTCCTTATAAAAAGCAAGTCCATTTCCCGATTATCCTCTTCCCCCTCGTTCTCAGTTGGTTATAACTCAAATCCCGCCTGACTTGCTATACCATATTCGACACATCTCATAGCATTTATCACCAACATGACGGGTATCAAAGTGTCTAAGCCAGTCTTCCCTGCAGAGGCAGCATCGCAAGAGTATGCTGCGTCTCTGGACGCAGCGGATCCTCTGCGCGAATTCCGTGACCAGTTTATTATTCCCTCCAAGGCGAATCTTGCGACAAAGAAGCTGGCGAAGCCAGGTGAGAACGATATCCCTGCGGAGACGCGAGATATAGTTTGATTATTGCTAACAAGCTCATGTAGGTCTCTCGTCAGAGCTAAGCACTTACTTTTGCGGTAACTCATTAGGTATCCAGCCCAAGGCCGTGTCGAAGTATATGGAAGCCCAGTTGGATACTTGGTCCTCTATCGGTGTCTGTGGACACTTCACCGATCTTGAAGGTTCACCATTGAAACAGTGGCAGCTGCTATCTGAACAGGCAGCTGCTTCAATGTCCCGCATTGTCGGGGCCGCGCCTGAAGAGGTCGCTGCCATGGGAACGTTGACTACCAATCTTCACCTGTTGCTTGCAAGCTTCTACAAACCGACTGAGACGAAGAGGAAGATTCTCATGGATTGGAAGGCATTCCCCAGTGATCATGTAAGTGACGATCTACAATGGAAATGATCCTCTCGGGATCAACATTGTTAGAATCAACCACCTAACACGTTTATAGTATGCAATCGAATCACAAATTGCGTGGCATGACCTAGATGCAAATGAGAACATGATTCTGATTGGCCCAGATGAGGGACAACACGAAATTTCAACGGAGAAAATCCTGTCCTATATCGACGAGCATGCGGAAACCGCAGCGCTGCTTCTTCTTCCCGGTATCCAATACTACACTGGACAGCTCTTTGACATCCCCACAATCACCAAGTACGCCCAATCAAAGAACCTCATCGTTGGGTGGGATCTGGCACACGCATATGGAAACGTGGAGGTGAAGCTGCACGACTGGAATGTCGACTTCGCAGCTTGGTGCACGTACAAGTACGGCAATGCTGGGCCCGGCGCGATGGGTGGTCTTTTCGTGCACGAGAGACATGGTCAGGTTGATTATAGTGCTGGAGCAGATGCTCCCCAGTTCCGCCACCGCTTGACAGGATGGTATGGTGGTGATCGGTCGGTGAGATTTAAGATGGACAACAGTTAGTTTCTTCCTATTCGTGTCGCGCGTGCATATTCTATCATATGCTAACCACCAGCAGAGTTCAAGCCTATTCCCGGAGCTGGAGGCTTCCAGGTCTCCAACCCTTCAGTCATTGATCTGACCTGTCTTTGCGCGGCTTTATCTGTCTTCGATCAGACTTCCATGGCCGATCTACGCCAAAAGTCATTGAAGCTGACGGCGTATCTGGAGTTCTTGCTTCTGAAGGATACCGACGAGGAGACCCGTCTGTTTGATATTATCACTCCATCAGATCCCCATGCTCGAGGTGCTCAACTAAGTGTTTTGCTCAAGCCTGGATTGCTGCACAAGGTAGCAGAACGACTACAGAATGCGGGTATCATTTGCGACAAGCGGGAGCCGGGCGTTGTTCGTGTGGCCCCAGTGCCGTTGTACAACACTTTCTCGGAGGTGTTCAACTTTGTCAAGGAATTCAAGGGTGCTTTGGCCTCGTCGTAGTTGATAAATAATATTATGAAGAAAATGTGGATAAATGTCGAGTACGATAATACAATGCACCGTGAATAAAACGCCGTGGACCTTTCGTAGCTGTTCAATCTCAGGATGTCAGACAAGATAGAGGGTTAAAGATACACAGGAGCTGAAGCCTGCTGTTGCAAGCCCTTAGAAATTCCCAACGCTTTCCCAGTTATCACCACTGCGCAGGAACTCCTGCCCCTGAGAAAAGAAATTGGCAGCAAGAATAGAGAACTCGTCATTAGACATCGTCATATTCTGTGGCGAGAGTAAAGGGTTTGCTGAGTAGTCCTGGCTAGGAAAGGTGGTATTGGCACTGAACGGCTGAGATTGAATATTTGGGGTACCTTGATCCTGGACACTCAATCGGAATGGCGGAGGCAAAGGCGACGTCTGAGATACTTCTGCGCCTGCAGAAGAGGAACCGGCATAAAGTGACTCCCCGAATAGACGCCGAGCAGAGTCTGTGTCGCTGTTGGATGAGTATTCGAGGATTTCCCAGAATCGGGATAGGTCGATTAGGAGGCTTTGGTTTTGTGCGCCTGGGTCTGGCTGGTAGGTTGCCGAGACAGCGTCTTCTAGTCGCTGTAATCTATGTGCCTGCTGACATGGTTAGATCGCTGTTTTACCCGAGGGGAACATAGAAGATGAAGGTTCATACCAATCGAGCCATATGCGGCCACCTTTCTCCCATGGTTTGCACAAACTTGACACACTTGGCGAATCTTTCACGTTTATGTTCTCTGATCGTCGAATCGTCCGTGAAACTGAGTTGCAGCTCGATTGTAGCGACTACGGCGGCGCTGTAGCCTAGCAACGGATCTGATACTAGAAATGACTTTTCTTCAAAACAGTTGATGAAGTGGATGATCCAGGTTGTATGCGAGGAGATCAAGTCCGAGGTATGCTGCAAGAAGATCTCTGGGATAGTACTCCGGAAATTGCGAAGACTGAGCGAGAGAAGCAGTGGATGATTGAGCAGACACAGACTGGTATGATATATGAATTGATTCAGAAACCACGGACCCCAATATTCACGGTGCGTCTGTAATTCTTCGAGAGAGCGTTCTGCGAGATTGGCTGGTTTGAACCGATGAAGATATGGCATGCGAGTCTCGAGATCCATTTGTAAAGCGAGAATTTTCGAGTATTCGGAATGAGGAGACCATGGTGGGATATTGCTTGGACGTCCGTGAAGGCCTACGTATCGTGCTGTCCGTGCGAAAACTTCGCTCAGCACTACCACATATGCAATGATTCCCTCATCTTGCATGTCACTTCGCCGTATTTCGCCGGTGGATGGTCCTGGAGAGAGGAAGCGAGGTGGTCGTGCCGGGCTTTTGGGATATGGAGGGCCTCCGGCTTGTGGTATGTCCGGGATTGGGAAGTCACCGCCGTGTAGTCGTTTGAGAAGACATATACTCCAGAAGCAGCGTCTGCGTTCTTCGCGGACTATGTCGCTGGTTGATGAACGAGGCTCTTGTCCGAGATTGGCACATTGTGCAAGGTTCATTGCTAAGCTGCTGTGGATGCTGGAACGATGTGTATTGCCGTCTGATAGATATTATTAGCTTACGTTTCAACATAAATGTTGGAAGCGCTAGAATCGTACTCGTGAAGTCGACCAAGCTTAGAATACATAGACATTGAAGTGTCGAAAGCTCCACTGGCCCTTCGGAGACTCTTTTCATAACGAGGCCCCGAGCAACCTCAGCATAGCTATTTATCAGGCTCGTGGAATCAGCTCTGTTGCGGTGAGCGTATGAGAAGCGAAAGGCAAGTGCTAATATAGCAAAGAGAAGCTCCGTCTCGCGCGTCTGTATAGTGGAGAGAAAGCTATCCCTGTAGAAAAGAGGCAAAGGCTGAGAGTCACAGTATAGCAAATATAGCTCTGCAATAGGAATAATCTCCTCCCATGGTGGTAGTGTTATAGATGAGCTTGGAATCGATAATGTCACAGACGGAATATGGGATTCTGTGGGTCTTTGCGGCTCACCCCTCGAGCTGCTGCATGTTCCTACGAGTAAGTAATTGCCCGAATAGGGATGCTGAATGTTCTTACCCAAGTACATCCAAAACCTCTCCCACTTTGCTTTCAAGGCTTCGCAATCTATCTTCCTATGATGAGATCAGTATTTGGATAACGTCGGTGGCGCTTGCATTGAGAGATAAAAGAAATACTCACCAAAACCCGAGACGTTCGAGGGTCTGAATCATTGGGCCTTGGGCTCAACTCGGGAAGTGGCCGACGCCTTTCATCGGCGTATAGACATTGTTGCCGTAGTCTGGCACATAAAGAACAGACCGGCTGCTCTCCGGGGCATTTAGCTTTCTTACGCCTGGGAGATTGGTTAACAGCTATCTTCTTAAATAATTCGAGGGAGATGATACCTGCAAGGCTCACAGGCCTGACGAACCCGCTTGGTGGGTCTGTCTGAATAGGTGAAACTCTCGTCTTCCATTGTTATATATGTGAGAGTCAAAAATCAGGACGCACGGCTCTCAATAAGGACAGTCATACTAGGAGCATGGATCGGGTGTTCCAAG